GAAAAATCACACCGGCGTAAATTTTCACGTGTTAGAATGCTTCAACGGAAAAAAACTAAACAAAAATATTATTAAGATTTGTGTTAAAAGTGTTAAAAACGTCTACACAGGTAAGTTGTAACGAACACACAATACAAATTGAGGTGAACCATAAGTTTATCAGGGGTCAGACGTTATCAGCTTAGCGCTCTTATCACGAGCATAAAGGTTACACCATATGCATTACATTAAAACAAATATTTAAACAATTAATAATATCGCGTCTGGCAGGCAGGTGTTGTTTAAAAGGTGAAAATAGTGTATAGGGTGTATCAAAATCTAGTTCATCGCATAAATGTTAATCAAACAGCTATAAAACGTTTACCAAATAAATTTAGGGCAAGGCGGATGGGCCTACCGGGAAACCGGGAGATTTTCTGTTTTGTTTTCGAAAGAATTGAAAAAGCCAGAATGTATTATTTATTAATCGACTTATTTATGTAAGTGTGTAAATCATAAATATAGGTACATGACGAAAGCGCCCATACCCACAACAACGTAATGTTTCATGTCACATTGCGAGGATATGAGATATCCCGTATCTCCGCGTTCGTCTAACTCTGGCCTCTGCTTCTTTTTATTATTCCAGGATTGTAGGAATAATTGAGTAGAAAAAACAGGCGACGGAGTATAAAATATATTTTCTTTATGTACGTTTATCAAAGCCCTGTGTTGCCATGTGGCAACAAAAATAAGTCTAAAATTCGCTATAGCGATCAAGCTTCAACTTCTATTTGATAGGTGGCGCTGTCCTACGTTACAATACGATTAGGTATAGCATATTTAGACATTGTTTATTTATTTGTGCCAACGCCTTAAGGTGGATTCATAAACTACGTTCAGTTCGCGCTCAGTTGCAGTTGGCAAGACATAACCACAAATTCCACAAAATAAAATTATTTTTTGGTGTTATTTTTGTTTTAATTATATTGGTGTTGGTTTTAAAATAATTATGAATCCGTTATAACTTCTTATCCAAACATACTTACCGTGTCATTTTGCTCTGTTTATGTTGAACTCGAACTGAGCGTGAACTGAACGTAGTTTATGAATCCACCTTTAAGTGTGAGAGGTGGAAGAATAATCAGTACTTGTAGAGTAGTGCAAGAAATGAATATTAGTTTTAAGTAAGTATGAAAATTGCGTTAAAATATTAGAATTACAATTATATAACGTGTTGAGCTACTTTGTAAAAGTCCTAAGAAATGACATGTGCCTAATTTGTTTTGTTTGTTTTTTGTTTTATAGTTGTAAAATAACCTCAAATTTGATTGTTGCCATATGGCAACGCTAGGCATTTCTGTGGTTATCGAAATCACGTTTTGCTTTTATTTTCAGGAAAGGGCTTATACTCGAAGAAGCACTTCAGTTAGCACTTAGTGATGATCTGGATGAAAATGCTATATATGTAGAGCCACCGGAGGCTAATAGTCTGACTGATCAAGAATCAGGCGAAGAAGATGGCGAAGGAGATCTGGATAGGTTGCCAGGAAAACAACTAGCGGCTAATGCGGAATTGGTGCTGAATAATTCTCAAAGAATTGGAGGTGACGCAGAGTATTTGGTACACTAAGTAGATTCTTTGCAAACATTGGAAGTAAAGCCAATGCCTGCACTCGTTGCTACCAAAAATTATGAATGGATTGAAGGAGACTTCGTATCAGTTCAAGAAGAACTTCCTAATAGAAATTAACAAAAATTTGAGACACTGTCTCCAACTGAACTATTTGAGCTCATTTTTAACGACGAAATCATTACTTATTCAGTTAACGTGTCCAAAAAGTATGCAGCTTTCAAGAAATATCCGGATCCAAACATAACAGCAAATAAAATGAAATGCTTTCTGGACATTCTTATTCTAAGCGGTTATAACCAGTTGCTAGGAAAGTGATTTTATTGGCACTCTAAATGCGACATGAAAAATACGTTAGTCAGCGAATCAATGAGAAGAAACAGTTTCATGCAAATAATGCAATTCATCCACTGCGCAGACATTGGGTCATATGATTGAACGTATACGTTATCCGTAACGTACATGTTAGGCACAGTTTTAACAGTAATTAGGCAAGTTCATATGATGAAAAACTGTTTCCAATACATAACTGTTATTTTCCGCCTATTATGTTCTTATTTAACAGTTTTTCATCATACAAACTTGCCTCGTTACTGTTAAAACTTGGCCTAACACGTACGTTACGGATAACGTAAACGTTCAATCATAGCACCCAATAACCAAATGATTGCGAACGTTAAAATGTGGAAATTGAGGCCTTTGATGGACAACATACAACAGCGCTTTTCAAAACAATTTGTGCCTAAACAAAATTGTGACTATGATAAGATATTATGGTCATCACGGTTTCAAATAATTTATTCGCGGAAAATTCATCAGGTTTGGTTTCAAAATATGGCGTTTAAATGTTGCTTCAGGATATCTTATTGACTTTGACATGTATCAAGGTAGCATTCCAAATTACTGTGAGGAGGATGAAAAAGCATTCGAAAAATCAACAGCACCTTTCGTTAGAATGTTAAGAAAAATGCCACTAAGATCTGAAATATGATATAATTTCTTCTTTGACAACTTATTCACGAATATGAATCTCCTATATTTTCTTAGGGAAAATGGATTCTCTCGTAGCGACACAATAAGAGAAAACCGGATTACAAAGTGTTGTCCACTGCCAACCAAACCCAAAATGACCAAGGATAATGTCAGAGGAAAATATCATTCAATTATAGAACGACAAAATGGTATATTCTTTTGTAAGGTGGCTAGATAATAGTGTGGTGACCATTGCTTCAACCAAATCAAATTTGGAGTCCTCCCTGTCAGTTACGTGAAAAGGTATTCCAAGGTAGAAAAGAAAATTGTTCCTACGCCATTTGTCATTGGGCAGTACAACAATAATATGGGAGGAACTGACTTTATGGATCAGAATGTAACAAGGCACAGAATATATATAAAAAGCAAAAAATGGTGCTGGTGGTGGTGTGTGTTTACATGGCTTAATTCTCCATAACAAATGCTTTGATTTTATCTCGCAGACCAGGACAAAAAATGTCACAATTGGAATTCAGTCGGGAAATCGTAAACACTTATTTGACGAGATATGGGGTAGCATCAAAAGGATCAGGCAGACCGTCTACTTTTAAAACTAGTGTTACTTTGAACCGAGTATCTGACGGTGTTGGGTACGACAAAGAACATCATTTGTTTGCGCGTGTGCCAGACAACAAAAAATGAAGATGTGCAAGTGTAGGTTGCAGGTCTATTGGCCGCACTATGTGTCGAAAATGTAATGATGACCTCTGTTTAGATTGCAATGAGATATTCCATAAAAAGAAAGCCATGAATGATTTATTGTCCTAGCGTTGCCATATGGCAATGTGCTATATATATCTACTTAAGGAGAATTAAAATTTAATTTTTGCGCGGTATGCTGTATGGTTTGATTTTGTTCACACACCCCAAAATATTACAAATTTTCGAATACAACCAGAATAAATAAATTTTTCGCAGTTCTTGACAAAATATCGAGTTTGTGTACAAAGTTACAAATTTTTATTGCTAACAGTTTTTTGTAATTAAAGGAAATTTACATTACTAGTAAATTTATAATTCGTGCTCGTTGCCAAGCGCGTCGCCACAGTCAACGCAGATAAAACGTGCTTCCAGAAATGTGTACTAGAATTGTCGCTCGGCAGGAGTCGTGATTGTCCGAGTGCAAAAATGTCACTTTTAGGAATTAACCAGTAATCAACAGGACGATGGTGATAAAGAAAACAATATGCAATGCAAGAGTTGCAGAAATGCTCACTGTGCTGTTATTCCATCATTTGTATATATAATATGTAAAAAGAAGCTTACCAAAAGTTGTCATTAGCATATAAACATTTGCTTTCATTTTCAGAAGTAGCCTGCGAGATAAGTTTTTCTGAACTGAAGTACTTCAAAAACAGGCTAAGGAGTACTCTCAGTCAAAACCAACGACATATACAAAATGATATATTAAATACAATGGAAAATGACGACGTCATTGAACGTTTATGGAAGAACCAATATTTCATTTTTAATGAAATTTTGACTGCAAAAGTTTATAGCGTTTTTCATTAGAATGATAAGTGCGATCTGAGTGTATTCTTACATTCTTCTTTTTTATATTGATAAACAAGGACATAAATATACTCAGTGCGTACTGCCAGAAAGAAATTTAAAAAACTATAATAGGCGATATTTTACTGTTATTGAATTAATAATATTTAAAAATATCGGTAACCTGACATTGTTTACATGATATTTTATCAATTTCATAAATGCTTTTCAGAAAAATATTAATGACTATTTAAATAAGTTGTTAATAATTTGAGGAAACAATCTCATTTATTTTATTTTTATAATCAGAGTTCACTGTATGTTTGAAAAATCACCATAACACCCAGTTCTACTTTTCTCTGAATTGACGTCGACGTTTTTATCTTTTAAGGAATTACAGGTAGGTAAGAATTCAAAAATGCTTTGTGAAGACGCAAGCTTTTATTAGTCCATTTTGGAAATATACCAATAAAACCTCGAATCAACGGAATTCGAATTTTCTCCAAAGAATATCATCCTATATAGCTCATGTATTAAACGACAATTTAATATAACCACAGGTTGCAAGAAGTTAAAATTTATGAGCCTGGCAAATTTTGAAAAAGTTTGAGAATATGATCTGCCTGAATGACATGAACTTCAAATAGCTCACAGTCTAAACATCTATCAAAGTCAAACCGTTAAAATTTAACGAATAGTTATTTAATAACTGTCAATTTTCATAGGCAAAAATCTAATTTTTCGAATTAATCCTGTATATACGCTTGCGCCCTTATCGCGACAGAAAAGACAGAACAATCTCGATATCTGCCTCTCCCTTCTCAAGTCAACAATACACATTCATGTATTGATTTATATCAGTTACCTACATTCTACGCAATGTTTAAAACCAACTCGCGTGATTTTTACACAATACTCACAAAAATAATATAAAAAATATAGTAAAACAATAGTAATAAGATGTTATCCAATGGTGCTGGGAATAGAGATAACTTAGAAGTTAGAAATAATGAAAATCCCGTAAATGGTAACTTTTTTTATTTATATATTTTATCGTAGTTATCTATTTTAAGCCTAAACTAAAATCATAGGTCATTTGTGATTGAGCCAACAAAAATACATTTTAAACATTTGATTTGCATAGTTTGTTTGATGAAAGAAATTCTTCTTTCAAAGATATTGCATCTGGCAACTATGTCAACATTCTTAACAAATTTCGGATCAACTACTATATTTAGAAGGTCTGTCCTCTTTTACAACAATTTATTCACCATACAGGGTATCCTAAATTGAAAAAAACATGTAGGTTTCTTAGTTCAGATAGGGAAAGGTTTTAAAGAATTTTATAAACATTTCAACGGTACCTACATTTTCCTCTCTGAAGTAATAATTGTGAACATCAGAAAAGCCTTTTTCAACTCGCAAATAATATGACCATATGTAGGCAGCCATTATGACCGATATTTTTTCTTCGATCAGGTCAATACCTATATTAAAATTTTATATTATTGATCAATGTGACATGTGTAGAACAATATCATTAGGTGTGTGTTCATGATACACAAATAATAGTATTTTCTTATTAGGTAGTAATACAATAACATTTTTATCAACAACCATAAGTTACCTTTGAAACTCAGTTGTCAGTTTTAGCTGTTACAGCAGTTGTGTCTTGTACCATGTTTAAAAATTTTCTCTAAACAACAGTTTGATTAAATTCTGAATAACTAACCTAACGTAAATCCTAAAAATTTTGTAATTTTAATTCTAATTATTATTAAATATAATTATGGTTAGTATTACCTTCGTAAAATTTTTTTTTTGCTCAGATTGGACACATTTAAAATAATGTAATTCTTCAAAATTACAGTCGCAAATAACAATGGATAAAGCAACCAAAAAGAAATGTTATGTTCAATCTCGAACCTTTGAAAATGATTGGTTCTCTTTTCAAGACTGTGATTACGAAAGTCTTGATATATGCGTGAGCACGTGAAGAAATTTCGCAAATCAAGTTTTTTAATTACTTTTAGTTTATTTAATATTTGGTAAATGTACTAAGTGTGCTATGTTGACCCCTATTTCCTACAAATAAGTTATAACTTTTGAATAATTTTTTATGGTTCATTCCTGATTTTAAATTAGATTATATTTGAGAGGACATTATGTCCTTGTAAACCGCGACCTTTTCAGGTCTATTGTGAAACTCCCTTATTGAGAGTATGTCATCTAGCTTGGTCTTTGACAGTCTTAGAAACCCCAATCTGGCCAGTTCTTCATACTGGTACAGGACGAGGATTTAGGTTTCCGCTTCTTCTTCACAGATCCCACACAATATTGCTTCCTTTGATGGATTGATGACACGAATGTGCCTTCTTAGGCGACAGTGTCCGGTAAGAAGGCTTATTGTTATCCTAACGATTTGTTGTTCGTGAACTTGGTTAACTTTTTCCGAATGAACTCTTTGGCCCGTATAGTTGCTCCACCATTGCTGAGACTCTTTTGGCATGCATTATTTGATGGTTGTCTTGCACAATGCCTTAGCAACTATACAGGTTGAGGCCTTCTCGTGCTAATTTGTCGGAATTTTCATTGTCCTGATATTCCTTCCTGACCTGTTTCCTATCCAGGCTAAGATCACTTTGTTTTGACTACTTAGCTTTGTCAGGTCTTTTAGACACTCTTTCACCAAATGATTGGCTTCAGAGTAGATGGCAATAGTTTTGCCGGATACTTGCTGATTTATTATTTCTCTTGCATAGTGTTGTATGGCTATTAGTTCGGCCTAGAATACACTTGCGTATTCTTCTATATTCATCGAAATCGTTGTTTTCGACTTGGGTCCAAATATTCCAGCACCGTCTCCTTCCTTAGTTTTTGAACCATCTGTATACCAGACGACTTCAGCGTATATAAGAGGTCTCTATTTCCAGTAGGCATTCCTAGAATCTTATCCTCCTTTACTTGCTGATATAGCCTAGTATAGTCTATTTAAGTTGGCTTATTGGGTTTTGTCTCAGTGTTAGCCTGTTATTTATTTACTAGTTTCTTCTTGTAGAAAGATGTACAGTGGCGTGAGGTTTAATAGTACCTCCATTGTTGCAGTGGGCGTAGTACGCATCATCTCTATGTCACTCAGATAGGCGATCCGTTAGATTCCGATAAGTATATTGTAGCCTGTGCAGTTAGTTAGATAGTATTCCTCCTTGTGGACACTCCCGTGTAACTTTTGCCTGTATGGTGGCCTTTCCTAGAATTGGCTATCGTCCATTGGCATAATATTGTGAGTGGGACGTTTTTTTGTTCTAGAGCCTTTGTTATTGACCTGGTTGAGGCAGTATTGAAAACTTTTGGGGTTCCTAGGAGTTGTTTTTATTTATAACCATAATAATATCCATCATACGTTAACGTTGTTCTAACTTTAGTCTATTGTCATTTATTCTTTTTCTAAATATTCAGTTTGTGTTTATCAATCAATCAATCAATCAAAAAGTACTTTATTGTCTGAAGTAAAAAAACTAATTGACAAAGCTGGTAAAAAAGAAAACATAAATACAAAAGATACAAAATATATATATAAGATATAAGATATAAGATATAAATCGAGTTGTGTATACAAAAAGAAATAATACATTCAAAACCAAGCAAAAAAACAAACAATATAAACCTAACGTAAAATGTCAAAAAAGTTAAAAGATATTTGTCATCAGCCAGTTAAAAACCTTACAAAGCCTTAATGCTTCGGTCAAGTTTGAAACAGTTTAAAATAAACATAAATGATTAGAAAACAAAATAAGAAAAGAAAAAATTTGTTTATGTTTATACTCTTATGAGCCATTAAAAAATTCCGCCAGCGTGTAATAAGCCTTCACAGACAGAAAACGTTTAAGTTGCCTCCTAAAATTCTTCTCAATACCTATCTGTCTTATTTCCATAGGCAAGTGGTTAAATATTTTTTTACCATTATAAATAATTGATTTTTGTATAAGAGCAGATGATGGTATTGGGAGAGGCAGGAAAAAAGTCAATCTAGTGCCATGCACAGAAGCTTCACGAATATAATTCTTATATTTTCTGAAAATCAAGCAGGCCATTTCCAGTATATACAAATTATATCCGGTTAAGATTTTATATTGTAAGAAAAGTGGCCTGCACGATGTAGTAGCGCAAACTTTGCACATGTTTCTTATTGCGCATAAATATCTTATTAAGCGATTCCTGTGACGCTGAGCCCCAAAAACATATTCCATACCGTAGGTGCGATTCCACAAGAGAGAAATAAACATTCCTTGCCACAGCAAAATTCAAATTGTGTGCCACAGATCTAATGGCGTAACATCCTGATGATAACGTTTTAGTTAAGTAGTTTATATGACGTTCAAATTTAAGATTGGAGTCTATGTAGATTCCCAGAAACTTGGTCTCCGCATTATTTTTAATCGTTAAGTTACCTAGGAACACATTATTTAATTTGCATTTAAAAGTCATTATACTGGTTTTATTGATATTAAATGTTAAATAATTAGCATCACACCAATTTTTAACCTCAGTTATATCTGAATTAATTATAGCTGTTAATTCCTGTTCGTCACTTGATTCCCACAAAATTGTTATATCATCAGCAAATAATGTAAAAATCCCCTTATATTAATAGTTGTTAAGTCGTTAAAATAAATAAGAAAAAGCAAGGGCCCTAAGACGGATCCTTGGGGGACACCACATTTAATATGTGTTTTGCTGGAAGCTTGTTTTTTCACTAATACTCTCTGATATCTGCCAGTTAGATATGACTCTATCCATTTCAATGCTACACCTCTAAACCCATATATTTCCAACTTTTTTAATAAAATTTCATGATTGACACAATCAGACGCCTTAGATAAATCACAGAATACCGCCGCCGAAACATTATTGGCATTAAGATTTAAGAGCACTCGCTCAAGCAAATTAAATATGGCATCTGTAGTGTTTTTGGAAGAATGAAACCCAAATTGTATAGCAGATATAAGATTGTGTGCCTCAAGGAATTCTAACATACGATTTTTTACTAATTTTTCCATAATTTTAGATAATGTTGGTAATAATGAAATAGGTCGGAAATTGGAGGGGTCATTTTGCTCACCTCCTTTATAAATAGGCAAAACAGTTGCCAATTTTAGACAGGTGCTAAATACTCCAGTTTAAAATGAAATATTAATAGCTTCAGATAGAACTCGCATGACTTCCTCAGGGAGATTTATAAACATTTTAATTGACATTTCTGCAGTGTTTTTATTTTCAACCTTAGACAAAACTTCTTTAATTTCAGAAATATCCGTTGGAGCAAAGTAAAATGTATTTGGAACTGAAATATTATCTAAAAATTGTGTAACATTACAGGTTGATGGTCTCATATTATGTACTTGATAAATTGGGACCAATAGAGCAATAATACTCATTCAATTTTTCTGGAGATATTTTAATTAATATAATTAAAGGTGAGGGTAGGCATATGCGAGTGTAGGAATTACTCAAGAAAGTGGTAGAAACAGTCCTTTCTGACTTCCAATGTTAATTTGTAATAGCGACCGCCAACGTGTATTACGCTGTTTTATTTTCGTTAAATTACAAAAAAAAATGTCTTCATATTTGTATTCAGTTTTTGCTCGGCGTAATTGCTACAAGTATTTAAAATGGATTAGAGCTTGATGTTTTTCTTGCTTATTAAAATCTATAGTCTAAAGCAAAGAAACTATAGTTGGAGTAACCAGGGCCGACTAGAGGGGGGGGGCAGCCGGGACTAATTGCCGGGGCCCGGACTCAAATGGGGGCCCGGCAGCGATATAAAGGGGGCCCGGCAGACGAGAGGAGGAACAGTTTAACTGTTTTTTGTTTGAGGCTTTTTTTTTTTTTTTTTTGAAAATTCAGTTCGAGTAGAGGAGGAAAAGTTTTTGTTTGAAGAGCTTTTTTTGTCACGGGGCCCTATCTAGAGAATTGTCCAATTGTCCTGGGGGCGGCCCTGGGAGTAACTCCGTTTGGCCCACATACCTATATGAAATTTATTAGCATAACCTAGCATCAGTGCTTAACTACACCTATGATTCGTTTTGAAGAAGTTTTAGGAAACATTTAATAATTACTAATTTTAATTTTTACACTTACACTTTTACTAATATTATACGTCTAAGAGTAAACTAAAGGTACAATAGGTGTTTCAAATAACCGTCACCAGGTCACAACTATGTAAGACTTTTTTTTACCTTAATAGGTGGTACATTGGTGATACATTTTAATAATTTTTTATTTTTTTAGATAATTTCAACTTGGTGCTTGGTTTAATAAAGATTATTATTGTGGCAGTATGTATGGTGCCGTTAGCAAATTATTCTTTAAGAACACGGACTGGTACCAATCAGACTGAAACTGACCAAATTCAACAGCTGACAATAGAAAAAGCTAACCAAAACTCCATTGAAGTTTTGACTGATAATATTGATAAGAAAAACATAGAGGTAAATAGAAATAAATTGGAAAAGTTGTCATAAATTTCTTCTGAAAACTATGATATTTATTCTGCAGGCGTTGAAAGAAACTCCTTTATATTAAGATTAGGTCTGAGAGGTTTTTTGCTTCTCCTGAAAAATTTATATTTTAGGAGTTAGCCCATTTGCATCTTAGCCCGACGTTTTGGAAAATCGATAAGAATAACTTATTTATTTTTAGATTAATCCAGTTAGAAAAAAGGTAAAACAAGAACCTACATGTTCCAGAAGTTACATGGTTGTGATTTTAGAAGAAATTTGCGAGGAATTGGTAGTAAATAATAACTATTGTACTCCTGCAGATTTTGGTAACATAAACAAACACAAAATTCCTAAAAGAATAATAAAGAATAGATCAAAGAAAGAAGCCAAAGGTAAGCAATTTGGACTATTTATATATAGAGTATGTCCCCCTAGGTTGGAATCTTATGGAAAACTTTTTAATTATTAATTTTAGGAAAAAAGTTATTCTTCATAAAAGGAGTTCTGCATTATCTGAAACCTAGAATACAGTCATCAAATATCAAATTTTTTCAGTGGTATACGAGGTTTGTCAAAAAATATGAGTTTTACTCAAGAGTAAAGTACCTTTATTCGTTGTACGACTGATAAAATTTCATATCTGATGGTTTTATAAAGGTTTTATAAAGAATAACTTTTTCCCAATATTAATAATAAAAAAGATTTTCATATGCCGCCAATTTACGTAGACAGTTGGTGGCATAGGAAAAGAGTTGTCCTTTATAAAAAGTCGAGCATGGTCTAAAACCTAAAATACAGCCATCAAATATCAAATTTTATCAGTCGTATAAAGAATAAAGGTTCTTTACTCTTGAGTAAAACTCATATTTTTTGACAAACCTCGTATACCACTGAAAAAATTTGATATTTGATGACTGTATTCTAGGTTTTAGATAATGCAGAACTTTTTATAAGGAATAACTTTTTTCCTAAAATTAATAATAAAAAAGTTTTCCATATGATTCCAACCTAGGGGGACATACTGTAGATAATTTTATTATATTTTAACTGATATGTATAAAAAACAAAAATACATTAATGATGGTACTCTTCTTGTTTATATACTTCTTATATACAACAAAGGAAACCCTCGGGAACTAATGAACAAAATAAAAGTGAAATTCTGACAGTTGACAGTCTATCTATAAAATAAGTTAGGAATTAAAAAATAAATACCTACCTTGATCTCTATTAGAAAGATTTAAAAAATAAAATAAGCAATGAAATTTACCTAATGTTTACTGAAAAGAAGTATAGATAATAGATAGCCTTAAATAAAGAAATTAAAAGTTAATTGCAAAAAGTAATATAATAAACGAATTGTAATTATACATAATAGAATGAAAACACCAACAAAAAATATGATCGTATTGTACTGAATTTGAACTAGGCAATCAAAAGAAAAATTGTGTTACAGGAAAAGGAAATAGGTTATAGTAAAGGATTACAATTGACGAGGTCAAATTATGAGAAAATTCTTATTTGAAATGTAGGGGGAAAATGAATTATGAGAAATGAAACTGTTTTAATTTGGGGGGAGGGGGGGGGGGGTTAGAGAAAGATATTATGGTGAGTTAGCGATTCATAATTTAATAGAAATTATTTAGAAATCACATGCAATACTTCAGAATCTGTATTTGAATCGAAACCGTCTCAAGTGTGTAAAATGTGTATGTGTACCTGTTGTTATAGACAACTTATCTAATCATCCAGTTTCACATAAGTTGGTTGTATGTAACTGTTATGTAGAACGTCTAACAGGGACGAAGAATATGAAAACACAATGTGTCAAATAAGAATAGGAACAGAAATATGAATAATTATTTTGTATTGTCGATTAGTATCGATCTCGGATCGCGGTCAATCTCACTCTCGTGTCTTGTCTGTCACTCGCTAGGCGGCAGCACTATGCAGACATGGGTTCACGGTATGAAGACTAGAGGTAAGGAGGCGAATCGGCATGATCAAAATTAGGCATTCCAACGACCTGTCCAAATGGCTACCAGATATTAAGATATTTAAAAAAAAATAATTGCTTACATTTTTACTTCAAGGCATAAGCTTATGTTTATTTTGAAAAATATGGATGATCAATCTATGTAACTATCTATTTCATTGACCTTGTCAAATCACCAGGCCTACAGGGTTGCCATAATTTTGCCATATTATAACCCGTCAAAACCCACTGGTAGCCATTCAGTTTGGAATGCCTAATACGGTCCCAAAAATCACACTTCAATTGAGCTTTTATAACTGACCACATGGGCGCTGGTACGGTTTACGTAGTTCAAAATATATGGCTTCTTATGGGAATTATACATAATTTTGTCAAAATAATAAAAATAAACTTGTTTACAGCTAAATAAAGCACAGAACATACTGTTGTATTTATTTCTAAATAAGTCTTGCATGTTTTAATTGATAAATTATTTAATTTTATCCATATAAAATACAATTTTGGTATGTATGACCAAATTCGAAAAGGTTTCTAAATTGCTGAAATTTGATAAGTACAATTTTGTGGCAAATTTTTTTTTTTTTTAATTGAACCAATATATAGTTTTAAGAGTAAAATAAAACACAGTTAACAGATTTTTTATTGTTGTAATACAAGTATAAAGGGAGATTTGGGAATGTACATGGTATTACCTCATCCTTTAATTTCAGCTGTCCCCTTTTTATTTTGCTAACAGTACCATTAGTTAAAATAGTCTCATCAAATTTTAAAATATTATCTTCTAAAAAGTGTAGCTCGCAAACAGAATCATAGCTAGACAGTACTTTATCAGCCCTAGGAATCACATGCTGCCATTGTTCTAAACGTTTAGGATCCTATAAAAAATATTTGCAATGACTAAATTGAAGTTCAATAAAGAAAAATAATTGTAGTAACTCTAAAATCAAAAAACATAAAAAAAGCAAATTTTCTTTTCTAGTAAGTTAAATTTAATGTGTAATTATTGTTGTTTGTAAGTCAGGATTTATGACTTTACTATTTTTTATTATAAAATTTTGTAATTAAATAAACTACACTCCGTAAGATACGGGTTGTGGCTATTTTACAATAAATATATATTATTTAGAAATAAATACATTATTTTACTTACAATAGAAGCTTTAAGAAGACTTGGATTTTTATCTCCTTGTGTTTTCTTTAATTTTATATCGGATTTATATCCCGTTTTTCAACCCGAAACGAAGAAATCCTGCTTTTCCGTTTTTTGTTACTCATTGTTACTTGTAGTCAGGTTCTTTATTCCAGCTTATTTTTATTCTTTTTACTTAATTTTACAAAAATCACTTTAATTCCCATTGACTTGCATTGAAAATAGACGTCGTTATTTTGCCACCCGCCAACTATAGTAGTTTTTTGGAACTCCATAAAAATAGGGACGGAAATTTGAAATTTGACCAAGGCCGATTCGCCTCCTTATATCTAGTCTTCATAGTTCACGGATGCTGCTAGCAGGAAACAATTAGGCATTCCAAACAAATGAATTACCAGTGGGCAGGTTTGGTATATCTAAGGGTGGCGACCGAGGGGTAAATACATTGGGAATTCTTGTGTACATCTGTTTGGGAATTCCCGGGAATTCTTAGGAATTCCCAGGTATTCTCAGGAATTCCCAGGTATTCTTGGAAATTCTCAGGTATTCTTAGGTATTCCCAGGAATTCTCAGGTATTCTTTGGCAATTCTCTATAAAAATCTGTCCAACACATGACTTTCCTATCTAGTTATTACAGGCTTTTTCCAGTTATTTTGTATAATCTAATGTTTAGAGGATGAACTAAATACATACATTTTCCACACACTTTTTTATATTTGGTGTTTTTTTTCTTTTCCTTTTTTAAACTGAAATTCGAAATTTGCAGTTTTCCAAAAATATCTGGAATACGGTTCATTTTAAAAAATTCAAATATTGTACTTTTTGTTAAATTTCTACAATACAGACCATTTAAGAAAAATTATGTATGGCACTAAAGCGAGCACAAAAGTTATAAAAAATGCTATTGCAAAAAACTTTGGACAAAAATATTTCTTCTTTAATCATAAATAACTGAAATTCGTTAAAGTAAAAAAATCGACCCCCATAAAGTCCCCCCCCCCAGATGCTTCGACTGTGCCTAAAATTTAGTCAGCTTACCACAGAATGTGTTTAAGCTTAAATTGAAAATTTGGTGTTTTTCTCTTTATCCCTTTTTGAGTTATGTTCAAAATTCGAAATTTTCACTTATCTTCAAATTTCTCAAATACGGGCAATTTTAGGAAAATTATGTTTAAAACAAAAAATATAGAGAATAATTTTGCAAACAACTTTTCTTTAAGGAAGTTTCTTCTGCAAGCGTATATTTAATAAAGTAGAAAAATGACCCTGCATAAAGTACCCCCTAGATTTTCCGACTATGTCCAAAATCTAAACAAACTGCAGGGTAGATTAAAGCTTAAGTTTATAATTTGGTGTTTTTCTCTTCATTCGTTTTTGACTTATGTTTAAAATTCCAAATTTTCACTTTTTCTCAAATTTCTTTCACGGCAGGGTGGATTAAAACTTAAGTTTATAATTTGGTGTTTTTTCCTAATCCTTTCATGAGTTATCGAGTATAAAGAAACACGCGCAAGCACGCTCGCACCCGCGCACGCACGCACGTACCCACGCAACCTCGCATCCGCGCACGCATCTACGCACCCACCCATGCACCCACCCTCGCATCCACCCACGCACCCACTCACGCACCTACGCCGAGACCTACGCACACATAGAGGGGAAAGTAAAAAATGTTCTCCAAATAACCCTCATAAAGGACAAAAGGAAGGTGCAAAATAAAGTTATTAGAAAAATTAATAACAGTACGAAAATTTTATTTAAAAAAAGTATACTGTAAAAATATTTACCTTAAAAAAACTTCAAATGTTGCTAAACAGTGGATAACGGCAAAATGTTATTTTTGATCGTTGATAAAATTGGACATACAGGGATTTTCAAACATTGTCAATTATAATTAAAATTGTTTAGAATTGAACAATACCTGGAATATATTATCCAAGTATGCAATGGAATATATCTGTTATTTACGATTACAGAAGAAACTTCTTCAAATAAAAGTTGTTTAAAATATTATTCTTTATAATTTTTGCCCCATACATAAATATCCTAAAATGGCCTGTATTCGAGTAATTTGAGAAACAGTGAAAATTTTGAACTCAAAAACGGATAAAGAGAAAAACACCAAATTATAAACACCTGTGGTGAGTTCGGTCTACGCACTCTTTTCACTATATTCACTCCTAAAGTACCTAAGGCGTTCGGGTACGGAAGGAGTTAAAATAAAAGTTCCTCTTTGACCGTTCGG